CAAAAATAATGATAGGAATTTTGAAATGTACACTACAATTCAAAACTTCGAAGTCTGTAGGATTATTTTTGAAATGTTTTTGAAATAAGTTACAAGGTTACATTTATTGGATCAGATACACTAAAAACAGTAATTTTGTGAAATATAATTACAGTTTAAAAATGTGTTTTCCATTTTATTATATTTTAAAATAGAATTTTAAAAGTATTTTTTTCTGCTTTGCTTAGTTTTTATACAGAAATTGGATCTCAGCGTTAACGCATGGCTCCTGTGTCAAAACTGCTAAATAGGGCATTTATTAAAATTATAGTTACAGTGTCTTCGATGCATGTCAAGTTCAAAAGAACAACATTTATTTGAAGTCAAAATATTTTGTAAAATTTTCAATGTATTTAAGGTCACTTTTGATCATAATGCATCCTTGCTGAATAAAAATATTCACTTATTTTAAAATAAAAAATAAATATATATATATTTTTTAAATTTTATAAATTTAAAGCTCTCTGCATGTATAACAAGGTAAACATGAATCTTTTTTGGTATAGTAGTGTAAGGGGGATTCCTATTTACATAGACAACAATATTTGTATTATTATTTTTATTATTAAATTAAATTAAATTTTATGATATGTATTTTTATTATTTTTATTTCAGATCACAAAATATGTTAAATATGTAACATAAAAACATTAAAACGTTATCAAAGTGTTAGCTAAAATCATAATCAAATTAGCTAAAATATTTAATGGACAAACACACAATGAGCCAGTGATATGTATTTTATATATGATTAATGAATGAATTGGAATGATGTGTTTCGGTTCTGTGGAAATCTGCTGAGCTTTTTCTATGGTCACAGGTTTTGTTTTTTAAGCTATTGAACATAAGAGTTAAGAATTACATGCATAGACATATGTAAAAATATGCACTTTTTTGAATAATTATCAACATGTCGAATGTCTACATTATTTTTCAGATATATCTTCAATGAATGTGTTCATCTCTGTCAAAACAGCATACAAAAAACCCAAGGGGAATCATATTTTTGGACCTCTCCTCATTGATTTCTCCCTGCCTATAACCCCTTCCTTTTGTCTCTCTCTGTCTGCTCTCTCTCTCTCTCTCTCTCTCTCTCACTGTCTCTCTAGTGACAGATGGGTTGGCCCACCTCTCTGAGGACAGTGTAATGTGGACCTGTCTGTGCCTGACAGGACGGCAGAGATCAAACGACATTGTGGAAGGTGAAGAGCCTTTCCTTTCGCCAGCTTCGCTGTGTGACACGTGGCAGAAGAGGCCAGTTGCAGCCTGACTGACCAGGGAGTCAAACTGCTTACTAACCTGTTTAGTGTACAAAACACTAGCACTGAATGCTGGCAGAGTGGAAGTGAGTGCTAAAATACTGTCTGCATCAACATCTGTCCATCATCGTCATTTGACCATCTCATATTACTGTTAGGGGAGACCGGGGACAATTCTAATATTTTAGTAATCAAGAAGTAGAAATAGTGATCAAGATAGTAACCAATGTGCCATATTTCAGTAAGACACATTTATAAATTCCTATTATAATATTTACACACAGGAAAACATCATATTATCATCATATTATATTTATTTTAAAAAGTCATTATATTAAAGGGCGATTCTGTAAAAAAAAAAAAAGACAAAATGTATCAATAATATATCATGCTATATTTTTGTATGACACATTTGTAAGTTTTAACAGTAATAAAACGATTACATTTGCATACAGAAAAACATGTTACTTTTTTTTTAAACAAGTCAATGGTAAATGGCAGTTTTGTAAAAAAAAAATTTGACAAAATATGCTATCAATAACAATTTCTTTAACACTTATTCAAATGACTGAATAGTATTACCTCTATATGGTACTAATTGTTTTAGCATTCATGAATAATTTGTGTTTAAAGCAAAAGTCTAAGTGGCACCTACTTTATTATTATGCTAAATGGGTTAAATCCTTTCAACTAAAATATATTTATCAGCTAATAAGTCAAGGGCAGTCTTCAACAAGCTACTTTAATGAAATAGTGTTCATTTTCAATTCTAAAGGTTCATTCTTTGCAGTCATACAATTTTAATTTCATAACTAGTTATGATAAAATCCTGAATGATAAGTACCAGCAAGCAACATTAGCATTTGTAATTCATATTAACTTTTAACTAACAACCAAGAAATTATATATTATATTTTATAAATGTCTCTCTCTCTCTCTCTCTCTCTCTCTCTCTATATATATATAATGTATGTATCTGAGTCAAAGACGTTAAGATGTCCGCATCAAAAGAAATTCTACTTTTAAGGTTTCAAATAAGTTTTTGGAGAATAAAATGTCAAAATTTGGGTGAAATAATAACACAATATTTATGTAAAAATTCAAACAACATGCTTATTCTGACTTGTACATATTAAAATATATAAAAGAATAAGGGAGCATATTACATTTTATTGTGTTTTAAATGAGTAAAAAAATTCTTACTGACAAATGGGCAAAACCTAGGATAGTGGCAAATTTTAAAAATGTAAAATTACAGCTAATTAGTATTTTTGGGGTGAAAGTAATTAGTCTTTTAATATGTCATAAATTGATTTTTGTTGTAAACATGCGCGACAAGATTGTTACACTGAATGACATTTTAGTGGGTGTCTTCTGCAAATCAGGGAAAAATGTATGATATTTATTTTTTGCTAGGAAAAAGCAAAAACAAAATTGCAATTAAATTAAAAATTTTTTGGGAAAAACAACAACAATTTAAAGCAGTATTACACTTATTGTTTTTATGCTTAAACCCTTTTTCGTCTTTGACCCATCTATATATATTACTTTGTCGAACATTAACATTTCATGAAAATACTGAATAGTCTATTTTTATTCATTTATTAATTTAATCTCATCGTCTTTCGATGGCTGAAGGCTGAGAGCCAATCAAGATGTTTTCATAGGTAAACACGCCATATTAAAAGCCAGCGCTTCAAAGACGTTTCGGCTACAAGGAGAACATTTGGTCTCATTTCACTTGTCAAACATGTGAGTGTCACAACCACTCAGACAGCACAAACCATTTCCCATAAGTAAACACAGCCTGCCGTAAAGCTAAGCAAGGTAGCTGGACTCTAAGCAAACAGACAGAATCAAGCTAAACTGCTGGAGCTACTTTGCTAATGGATCTAGTAGTTATTTACTGGCAGCTGATTTATCGCCTCAAAGTGGTAAAAGTGGGTTAAAGACCATTTTAGAGAGGTTTAATGGGTCGTGGTGTCACAAATGTAGAAGCACAGATTACAAACTAAGCGGTGACAATAAAACCTGCAAAAATAATCAGTGTTTTTCCATGCAGGCTCACATGGTACATCTCGAAACAAATAAAAACGGTCTATTCTGGGCGTAGAGTATTCAAATAGATCTGAGAACGATTCAGCGTACAAGATAACAGAAAGAGAACATATGTACCCCCATTGAAAGACTTGTTTAACAAGATTAGCACGGAGATTATCGAACTTTACATGGGTCCTTTTTTCCCCTGACCTCTTTTCAACTCTTTCCAGAACACTTTCTCACCATTCCACCACATACTTCGAGCGCCGAGAGGTTTTGCATGAGATTTTAATGGGAGATGTTTGAATAAACCACAGTCATTTGTGCTTTTTTGGTAATCGTGACAGTCGTTTTAACAGCCAAATTTGACCACAGCTTTGGGCCAGTGTGTGCTTGATATTATGGGACACAGTTGTCGAGCTTGTTTACCAGTGTGTTGTTGTGACGAAGTGTTTGTATAAGTGTATAAAGGATGGCGGTTTGCCTGCACCTCTCAAACGTATGTTGGTAATACCAAGGTACTTTGAAATGTACCATGGTATTTTTTTGTAAGTAACATTTCACTATTCAAAAAGTCAACAGATTAAACGATAAAGCAAAATGTAAACAATTTAAACAAATTAAAGTGGTTACATTTTGCTTTTTCATTTAATTTGTGTGTGTGTGTGTTATATATAGCATATATATATATATATATATACACACCAAGATTGACAAAAATCACATTGTGCATACAAAAAAGCAACTACAAAAAAACCCCAATTGTATTTCAACACTATTTTATTACAGAAGTGTAGCTATTGCCATTCCCTTTGCAATTATGTATATACTTTTTACATTCAATAAACACTGACGTTTTTTTTTTTTTTAAATGTAAAAAAAAAAAATGAACGTACTGCAGGGCATAGCTGCCGTCTGATCATACTTGACTAAATTTACACGAAAAGCAGCATTGAGGTGCATTAACCTGAATATACATGTTTTATATTTTTAATGATGGCATGGGGGAGCGAGTAATGGACCAACATCCACTTTTTTCCTAATAAAACAAGCATTTTGTCACTAATAGTAGAAATGTAACTTTCATAGAATGATGTCATAGACACACGTGAAGCTTGCACCTTGCACAAGACCTGTCTGAAGATAACCATTTGATATCTATAGGCGCGTTTGCTCAAAAAGTTATATTCAGTGAAATATGGTGTCAATTATACTGTATTGTTATACAGATGTTTATTTAAATAGATCTTAAGAAAAAAATCGGAGCAGTATTTGAAACACCATGTACTGTAGTATTACAAAATCATGCTGTCATGGGAATTTATTTTTTTGTCTTTATTTGATTCATTAAGAAAAAATCTGTTGTTCGTTGAGAAAATTACCTGCATCTTCCCTCCTCTAAGACATTATATTCATAGGACAATATATATACGGGTATAACTTAAATATTAGTATATAACATTCCTTCACAAAGAACATGAATCAGTCGTTTGTTGTAACTGTGCTAGTATTTAATCACTTTATGGGCCCTGAATGGGTAAGAAATAATGTGGGCCATTTACTCAGTTAAGTTCAGATATGTGCTCACTTTGAGATGGAGAGTTTTAAGGATTTTATTTCCATTGTAATACACTGTATTATTTACTTATTTATTTAGGTAGAGAATACAAATGTGCGAAAATAACAAAACGCTCCACAAACAATCCAAGAGTTTCAATGGTAAAAGAGGTTGGGATTTTTCCACTCACGTGCTCCAGATTCTAACCTGTCTAAATAGTTCAAAACATCTGTCCGAAGAGAGGCCATTTGCCCTTTTTTGGCCTTTTGCAGTGAGAAAACGGCATGCTGAAACACCCCATCCCCTTCAGTCGCAACAAAAAAACACCAAAGGAGCATCTAACATAACTACACCAGTACGTTTGTAGGTTTACACACTGCCATCATCCTCTGTCCATAAAGTGCTCTCTTTAGTCCTGGGGAATGACTGACGGAAATGAGGGACAAGTCTGAATGTTTGTTTTGTTTTCAGTAGACGTAGCCCTCGTTGTACGGGTGCGGGTTGCAGTAGCCGCTCTCTTGAATGTACGCCATGTTCTCATCGAAGTGTGACAACGGCACAGTGTCTTCCTCGTTGATCTGCCGCTCCAGGTCGGTCTTCAGCACCGGACGCTGATTGTCAGGGAAGGCCATGGAGAACAAAGCCTCGGGGTCGCAGACAAACTTATACACGTATCTTTCACCTGCCACCTTATTATCAATGTTGAAAACAGTTGAGCTGCTTAATATTTTTTGTGGAAACTGTGATCATTTTCTTCTACAGGACTCTTTGATGAACAAAAAGTTTGTTTATTTGAAATAGACATCTTTTGTAACAATATAAATGTCTTAACTGTAACTTTTGATCAACTGCATGCATCCTTTTGAACAATAGTGTATTCAGACCTCAGCACTGTAGCTGAGCGTAACATTTTCTTATAAGCATATTAGCATCATCATAATTAAAAAGCAGCTTATTATGGAAAAAAAGAAAACTTATGCCAAAAGGAAAGTATTTTGAAAACAGGTTATGATGAATTTTAGTATGTGTCAGAAGATTTAGCTTAGCTTGTTAGCCTACATTACCTTTTGCATGATGCCTTTTTCATAGTAGTAGCGCAATGATCTGCTAAGCTTGTCGTAGTTCATGGCAGGTCGATTCTTTTGAATTCCCCAACGCCGTGCCACCTTTGAAGCAAAATAACTAAGTTGTTACAAATGAGCTTTCATCACAAGTTTCTCTCAAACATTACGTAAAAATAAGATCTAACACCCACTCATTACTAAACTAGCCCTCGAAAACAAAGCATTGACAGGTCTGCAGCTAAACCCTGTCAGGGGTGAAATACAAGACGGCTTCCTCTCATTGGCCACAGCCATGTACTCATACCTCTAGTCAGAGATGTGTTCATTAGGAACAGCAGATCGTGGCAGATGTTCCTGCACCTGTCCACACGACCACCCACCTGTGCAACCTCCTTTTCAAATCTCCCTCCCACTACTCTCCCAGAGCCCCGCGCTGTGGGCCTTTTTCACTCTACTGCGGTTCATTCACGCCTTGCACCCGCCCAGCCAATCCCAACGGCCCACAGTCACCTGATGGCATGAATGACTCCCCTGTTCTCTACAGCTGCCCTGTGGACCAACGCCAGTACACACACACACACACATATATACAGGACTAACAAATCCCACTGTTGCTGATAGTTTACACAAACACACCTGTCCGCACTTTCCAAACACTTCAGACTTTTTGGAGAGTCGACATGTTGAAATACTTAATTTTTTGGATGGACATAACAGACACTTTTGAACAAACAAATGAAGAGTCTCTCTAGGAATCAAAACTTGCATATAGTGTGGAGATACTTTAAATTTAGTAACGATAATCAGATAATGATTCAATTAAGCAATATATAATCTCCTAAAATTATTTTAACCCTATAAAGCCGACTGTATCATATTTGATCCACAAAATTCAAAAGCCTCTATATTATCAGCATGATTAAAACTGCAACTGCAGCATATCCTTGCTCAATTTGGGCCTCTGAATAAAACAGTTTTTTTCCCCATGAGCTCCATATTCTCTTATATCTCAAAATATGAACCATAAAAGCCTGCAGTATCAAATATGATATTCAGTAAAAAAAAATTTAAAAAAAAGATTAAAGGCTCAATAAAATGTTCCATTTCCTTGGTTGAAAAATGTAATATTGAGGCTAGTTAGTACCTCCTCAGGCTCAATAAGTTTAAACTCCATGCCCCGGCCTGTCCACGCAATGAAGTGTGAATTTGAGGGGTCATCCAATAGGGCCACCAAAAACTGCCAGAGCTGCAGCGAGCCTCGTCTCTGATAGGTTGGGCCTTCACGGTACAGCACCGCCTCCTGCTTTATATCACCTGTGGGAGGACAAATTATAAAAGGCGTTAAATCTCATAGCCCAATCCCATAATGCCTAGGGGCAAGACATCATCATGGTGAAGCTGGGCATAAAAAAAATTCTTAAGCCTTTACAATAAAAATTAAAGGAATGGCGCAGCCTTCTGTGGATAAAGTTGTAATTTTATATGTTACATGTCTGGAGGTTCATACAGTATTCAAGATTATAGACGACTGTACAGCACACACAGAAAAATAAGGGGCCAGAATTTTACCTTTTGGGGTACAACAGCTTGTCCCTGGAGCAGTCCCCTTAAAAGGACATATTTGTACCTTTTTTACCCCTAATAGGTACATATTAGTATCTTAAGGATATGTATTACTACTCTAAGGTACTAATATGTACCTATTGGGGTAAAAAAGGTACAAATATGTCCTTTTAAAGCTAATCTTTCCCGTGAACTGCCAAAATACAGACAGCATGTTACATGTCCCACCAGAGACAGTAATATACTGGACCATTGTTACTCCACAATAAAGGATGCATATCGCTCGGTCCCCAGAGCAGTGGTAGGACTCTCTGACCACTGCCTGGTTCATCTTATACCGACTTACAGGCATAAACTTAAATCTGCTAAACCTGTAGTATCTGATTCTGATTTTAAGGGTACTGCTCCAGGGACAAGCTGTTGCACCCCAAAAGGTACAATTTTAAACCCCTTTTCATCTGTGTAAAGAGTCAACTTATTATTCAATAAATAATATTTAACAGCACATAAATATCTTTTTAAGAAAGATATATTTTGTGCATAAACAAAGATATTTTTAGAAAGATTAATGAGTAAATGAGTAAATAAATATAAAAACATACCTTCAACCTTCTCTGGTACAACGCAAGTGTCGTCATAGAAGTGCCTTGCAACTTTGTCGAACATACATCCTATTGAATAAAGACATTGAGATATTGTTATAATCTGACTTTAAACATTTAATACAACTTCAAATCAGACACTTTAAATAATAAAATAGCCATATAAGATCAAATATATTACTCTGTGTGGATAGTTACCCTCTGTTCTGTTATTGTGGGCCAGATATCCTTCTTGTCTAAGATATACAGAGTGACAGCTAGGCACTTCTGAAAAAGAAAAACAAAACAAAAAAGCATTTTAAAAATGTGGAAAAAAATGATGCATGGGCTCAGCTAATAACTAAAACCCATATGTATGCATGTATGTATGTATGTATGTATGTATACAGTATATGTATTTATTTGCTTATAATTATTTTCCATTTTAAGGCAATGCAAAAAAAAAAAATCCTCCAGCAATTTCATATTCAAAAGAGTAGGTTAAAACATTATGGACAACAGATTTGTGAGGATTAACCGCAGTGGACGCCTTGTGCTCCGAGTCAGTCATGTTGTTTGTTGGAGCTGTGATTCAATCAAAGCAAGACAGCTTAAGTGAATGCTCCATAAAACATCTAACCCTGTTCATTTGGACCTATAAAGATCTCTCAGGGTTTCATTCAAGTAATGGGCCTGTCGAGGAAATTACCACTGATTAAATTAGCCGCTGACTGCCCAGTCCTTACACAGCTCACAACAAACAAACTCCTTTATGAGGCAGAATAAATGCTTCTAAATGGCTGGGAGGGGATGCAAAACATGTCAATGATCTCCTCCACTGATGTAAAGAACCAATGCAGACAAATCACTTACACATATGAAGCCTTCATCACTTTATTTGTTAGCTTTTAGTGTGTCTAATTTATAGATAATAAATAGACAAAATGTTATAGATAACAATGCCAACATAAAATGTCAAATTTAAAGAGTATGTACCTACAAAAAAAATCTCTATTTTAAATACCAATTAATTACAGATTTTCAGGGTATGTCATAATAAAAAACTTTTATATTGAAAACAGTCTATAACATTAATTTTGTTTAAAAATATAATGAATTTGAATTTGTTGCTTTGACATTAAGTAAACAGAAAAGGCCCCGGTATTACTGCTATTATCCTCAGGTTGTGTTTTACAGATTTACATAATCAACAGGAAACAGCTGAGATGCAGCGCTGCATTCTTTCCTGACAGGCTGCTGCTTCCATTTTTATGAATGAAAACCAAAAGCCTCTTCATTCATGCCAGAGCTGGGCCGACAGCCTGGGGGTCCCTGGGGGAGAGATTAGGGGCCCCTGTCTTTTCCAGCCAGGCCCTCAGGAAATGAGATCAGACCTAAATTTCCTAATAACACGTTAATTCTATTAATCTCCCGTCCCTAATAAAGTCGCTATCTGGCTGTATGTGTACCCAAAAGAAAACAAAAGAAAAATGATGTTCAGACTGTTTCCTGTTAGTTTAGAGAAGTACATACTGTCTCCATACCATTATAAATCATGCTTTAATTTTTTTTATAAAACATTTCTTATTTATTCTATTCTATTTATTTATTTTTCTGTTTAATTATTTTAGGGTCTGTTCATGTTTTTGAAAGAGGCTGCATTTATTTGCACAAAATACAGTAAAAACAGCAATATTGTGAAAAATTATTAGAATTTAAACTGTTTTCTATTGTAATATATTTTAAAAAGTCATTTTTTTCCTGTGATGGCAAAGCTGAATTTTCAGCAGTCACAACTGCAGTCTTTAGTGTCACATGATCCTTCAGAAACCATTCTAATATGCTGACTTAATAAACATTTCCTTTTATCATCAATGTTGAAAACAGTTGAGCGGCTTAATATTTTGTGGAAACGTTACAGATCAAGCAATATACTGCTCTGTCAGCATTAGCAGACATGTAAACAGACAGAAACGAAACTCACCTGAGTCGTAGGTGAAGTCGCGAGGCTCTTGTTTGATCACCATGGAGTGCGGGTACGTCTGGGGGAGCGGCGCCCCCACCATGGCCGGATGTTCGAAGAGGGGGTCGCCATACTCCTGCTTGAACCCCTGAGGAGGGAAGGGGATGCTGGGTTCCGACATCTGTCTGTGATACATGGGCCGTCTGTCCCGCGACATCGAAGGAGAGGGGAAGGAATGACACGGCTCCGACAACTGCCGCCGAAATCTGAACAAAACACTGAATAGAATAAGTCTCATACATGATCTATCTATCTATCTATCTATCATTCGTCTGTCTGTCTGTCTGTCTGTCTATCTATCTATCTATCTATCTTTCGTCTGTCTGTCTGTCTGTCTGTCAGAAGTGTTTTGATAATTGGCAGTACCTGTGGTCCATGGGGTAAGCACTGTCAGGGAGGGGCTGCGGGGGTGCGAGGTGAGGGTACGTCCTGTCTGGTTTCGGGGTGGGGGCAGCAGAGGGAGACCCATGCTGGCCAGGGGACACGGGTGTGCTGCAGGGGGTAGACACTGGGCTGGAGGCCTTCATTCCCGAGGGATGCTTCTGCTCGTAGGCACTGGAGACACCAGGGAACAAGAGCGGTTTAAGTTAGTCTTTCCTGAGGGCCTTTCAGGCTACTGAGATTATTAGACTGTGCTAGACTTTATTGCTGGAAAATTAAAAAAACATAAGCGCTAAAGCTTTTTGACTGCAGCATACTGTATAATGCATGCTAAACTGGTATTTCAAAAATGGCTGGAAATTACGTTTTTTTTATATATCTTTTGAATTACATGTTTTTAATGAAAAATAAATAAATGCACAACATTTTTTCAAAATAATACAAAAATATGTATAAAAGACACAAAAGGCACAATTGTGATAAAAATTTTATTCATAAGACAAAAAGTGTTAGAATTATAATTTATATAATAATATTAACAATAATAATAAATTATAATACATATATAATATTTTTATATGATAAAAAAAACTATTTATATATACTACTGTTTAAAAGTGTGAGGTCAGTCTCTTATGCTAACCAGGGCTGCATTTAATATAGTAAAAACAGGAATATTGTGAAATATTTATTACATATTTAAAATAACTGTTCTATTTGATTTCAAACTGTAGTTTGTTCCTGTGATGCAAAGCTGAATTTTCAGCATCATTACTCCAGTTTTCAGTGTCACATGATCCTTCAGAAATCATTCTAATATGCTGATTGGGTGCTCAAGTAACATTTCTTAATATCAATGTTGAAAAAATCAATATTTTTTTAGAAACTATTTTATGTTTTTTGTAGAAACTATGAATTGTTCACATAGTTCCATAATCTAACAATAAAAAAAATCCCACAATTCCCCACATCTATTCCTAGCCATCCAGCTACCAGATCTCCACCCCTCACATCCCATAATCGACAGGGTACCAAAGAGAAACCATCTGATATCTTGTCAGATATAAACCTTAAAGCAATTATACTCCATTCAGAAACATTAAAAGACAAGGAAGGAACAGGCTTCTATGGGGCTTGACAATCTCCAAGGCACCTCTGAAGAGAACATCATTATCACAGAGGTTGTTGGTTCAGCTTGAGTGCCATCTGCAATATGAGGGCAGGTTGGCTCCTCCAGCGAAATAAAACATCCAAGTGAAATGTCATAAATTTAAAATCAAATCAATAGGAAGATGACTGTAACCAAGGAACCGTGTTTGCCGTAGACGCTTGTCCAAGTGGAAAAGCCATTTATTGCACTTAATGCACCGTAGCGTAATTTCTTGTTTTTCTTTTTTGTGTTTTCTTCCCCCTTTCCAATTTCAGGTGGATCTCATTCAAATCATTTCGAACAGCACCTGCTGTACAGTTGCCTTTGAGTAAATAACTAAAGGAAAACTATTATTATTGTGCTTTTTTCCCCCATAAATCTTTAAGACTATTCTTGGCTCAGGCTGAAAAACTCACATCTATGCCAAGACCCCATCTGCCTTAGGGCTGTTCTGTCAAATGAACGTCTGTGCTTTTATTCAGCCTTTAGTCATATATAAAAAGGTGAAATACACACCCACTGTAACACCTTAGTGTCGGAGGTGAACCTGTGCTTTATTCGAACCCCTGAAAATTCAGCGTCACAAGCAGCGTGATTAACAAACCCAACATTTGCATTCAGAAAATAGTAATTTTTTTTCCACAAAACATCTGTAATTAGGAAAATAAAACACCCTAAATTGACATATAATGGGTAAAAATAGTTTGTTAAATGGTATCGGTATTGCAAATGTATGTAGACATATTCGACCCATTTAACTCTTTCACACCAGCTGCCGAGGCTGAATTTGCAAACAAAAACGTGTGATGTTAGTGTCGCTCTGACAGCTGAAAACCTAACGTTTAGAGCTGATTTTCGCTGCTTTGGTGCAAAAACACTTATGGTTTCATGCAAATTTCTCTCAGACATCACAGTCTAGCATGTCTAGCATCCGTCTTGTTACTCTCTGTATTTTCTTTATAACACCTGATGCATGTAAGTTACACAATAACTTGGTGTTATAAACAAGATTTGATAATTTAAAAGAAGAACAAGGGGTGTGTGTGTGATTCTGTTTAAATGTGTTTCTGCATTACGGTACCTGATGTTATACAGGCATTTCTCCCCATAGTGGAGTCTGAAGGGCCTCTCCTGACTGCAGGCTGAGCCCAGATCAGTACACGGACTGTGGGGCTCCCTCTTTATCCTCAACTGCAGCCCGTGGAACGCCACTGAGAAAGAGACAAGTGTATGGATGTTTAAACAGAACATCAAAATGAAATCATGGCTAAAGAATATAACAGTGAACAATAAGATTCTCACTATATTCATTACTCAAAGGATGCAGAAGTGTCATTTAAAACTGCAATCATTCTCTTGCTCACACAAGGCATCTGCAGGTGAAGTTGAGGTGACCTTACAACATTTACCTTCTTTTATGCATTCACCAAAAATCATTAGATTTCTGTTTGCATGCAAAAAGTTGGTATTTTTAGCAAAGGTTTCTTGTAACTAATCGCCAAAAAAAGTGCTCACATGAACAAGGTCAGACACATATGTAATAATAATAAAACCTATTAAATATAAATCTGCATCAATTCAGTAACCAAATTAAATAAAAAAACATCTTTAAAGCAACATTTAAGTAAATTCAGCACTGTTTTTCCTCAGCACACATGAATGAGATTTTTGTCATTCAGAAATTTGAATAACAACTGTTGTCAAGATTAAACCAAATTAAATAGTGTTACAAATGTATTTGAACATTTCTGCTTACTTCTAAAGGTAATCTAATACTTTGATACTACATGAAAAAAGGGAAGAAAAATAAAAGCATAAATAGAAAGCACTTCATTTATTTGACTGGATTTGTGTAATCTAAGAGTTACGAATACAAATATTAATGTCTAAAGTAAAAACCTTAATTGATTTGGCAGTCTTCTGAAATTTTAAATGGTCTTTTTAGGATGTGTCGTTGTTCATGATAGTGGATTCTAAAAGTAGCAGTGTGGATGAATAATTTATACTTGAGAAGACGTCTTGACGGACCATATTAAGAAGCACGTAGACAGACGAAGAAAAAAATGCCATAATTGATTTTACGCAAAGGCATACGCGTAAACGAATCAATACAAAATCTGTTAGCATCACAGGACGTCATACATGCAGGATGTCATTCCAGGATTGCAACAATTACACGTGCATTGATTGGTGTTAATGGACAACATTTTTGTCAAGTCGTTTATGACATTTACTTTCAATTTTTTGTATCCTTGCAATTTATGAGATGCATTTAAACCCCCCTGAGTACATCAGATGTCAACTGAAGTGGGCAACACCTCAGAGAAGAAGAAAAAAAAGAAACAGAAGCAGTGGTACATTGAATAAAATAAAGAGCTCTTACAAAATCAAAACGACATCTTGAGTATAGCAAAATATTAATTTCTCAAATCTCAACTTGTTATGCTAAATATTCACAAATGATTTCCATTGTTATGACGTTTACTAAACATTCATGTTCCATTCTGTGAAAAGTTACATTTCTTTCCATTAAGCTGCACTCTTATAGATTTAATTTTCATAAATCAATAGCTTGGATATTTCTGATTCAACGCTAAATGTAGCACCTCCACCTAAATTCCATTCAAAATGTTACCGAACACCATTTTCACTGTTCCCTGTGTTACACGAAAGTGCATTTGGGTAAAAAACACAACTTTTCTAAGTGTCAAACTGTGTCTTTTTTTACTGTGCTGATGGTCGTGCGTTTTCTCACCCTTCTCTCTTTCTCACTCTCACCACTTCGCTGACTGTTACTCGCTGATAATAGATTCAGTCACACCTTCTTCTTAAACACTCTGGGCTTGAATTACGATGGCCTTTACAAAAGGGCAAAAAACTAAAATATAATCACTGTTTGATCACACTTCCCCAGCCAAAAAAATCACTATTATACTAGTGTTTAAATCGATTGATTTTTTTTACAGTAAGACCACCAATTCTCTTAACAATTACAAATGCATTTAAAATAAAAGTAAATACAATACAATTTAAAAATGCGGGGTCTGGAAGATTTTTTTTTTTTTATCTCTTATGCTCACCAAGGCAGCATTTACCTGATCAAAAATACAGTAAAACTGTTAAATATTATTAAAATTCACAATATGTTTTCTTTTATATTATTTGAATATGTTTTAAAATGTAGTTTATTCTTGTGACGGCAAAGCAGAATTTCCAGCTATTTTCATTATTCCATTCTTCAGTGTCACATGATCATTCAGAAACCAAATATGCTGATTTGGTGCTTTGGTGCTCTTTCAGGATTTGATGAATAGAAAGTTCAATATAACTTATTTGAAATAGAAGTTTATTTTAAAAATATTTTTTTGCATCTCTACTGTCACTTTTGATCAATTTAACGCATCCTTGCTAATTAAAAACATGAATTTCTTTAAATAAAATACTGTCCCCAAACTTTTAAATGGTAAAAGTAAACAATGTATATATTACAAATCTTCAAATGATACAAATAATTTGACAAACAACCAGTTTATCAGGCCACGCACGTCTAGTGTGCAGCAGCAGTTTGAGAGGTGTATTTTCTGGCTGTGTTATCCCTGTATATCCCATTTCGAGGTGCTTTGTGAGAAAGGACCACATGAAACGGAAGTGATCCACTGGCATTGTCGACTCAGACCCATATGGGAGGGCCAGGATGCCCATTCAAGAGCCCAAACGCCATGCCCTCGCTCTACCTCCATCTGCCTGTCCCTCCTCTCCACCCCTATTCTGCCCACAATGCCAACTAACACCCTGCAGTTACAACGTTTTTGCTTAAATATACATTTTGGAATGGAATATTTACTTAATAATAAAGAACAAAAATAAAGAATAATGTTCATATAGATGCAAAAAAAGGCTTCCTTGAGTGACATTTCATTTCTCTTTTGTCACGGTCTACGCTCACAATAAAGTCTAGCTCCCACTAAGGAAGGAATATAGGACAATAGCCCATTATCAGCAAACACTAGTATATTTTATTTGCCTAATGAGCTTGAGTTATCTAGAAAGACAAAGCCCCCCTTCTTCTCCTCTACATCCTCTGTAGCAGAGTCTGTTTTGGCTCCTCTTTAAGACATAAGCTGGACTCGCTCCCCACTGTGCCTCATTCAGTCCATGCCACTTCCGACACTGGCACTGGCTCTGCCACGACCACTGCGCGCCAACTTTACTTCCTATGCCCATTTAAAGGCCTATTGCTTCTGGCTGCACTCGCTGAGAAGGTACACAACCTAGAGAACACACGCCGCTCGTGCTTTCTCTCTCAGTTTATTCAGCAGCGAACGACAACATGTCGTAAACGAGCGCAAACGTGAGCTGCGTTTGCAAATTTTCGCACAAAATCATCAAAGTTGAGCTTCTTTTAGTCAGGCCTTTCTACAGTGTGTCTACGTTTTGCAAAATATAAGCTACTATTTTGTGCATTTAAGAGCCACAGTGCAAGAAAAAAGGTCACACTTACAGTTTTCACTCTGAAAGTCTGGAACAAACTGCTCATCATTGTCAGGAACTTGAGCTGGGAGAAACAAAAAGAGAGAGAAAAGGGTAAATAAACATAAACATATATTTGGTTTCCACAAGTTGAGCTAACACAATCTCTACTCTAATAATCACTTTAATGAGTAATTTCCTCCAATAATCCTCTGTAATTGAAACACTAATGATCTGAAGTTCTCAGACCAACCCATAAAGACATTTATTGGTTTAAAACAGACAAAACATATCCTCTAATTATGTCAGTAATTTAATTTCAACTTAATTTGTTGGACAAGGAAGGCTTTTGCGTGTGAAACGCAACCCATATGTGTCTCAGTCGTTCACTTTGACATCCAGCTACATAATTCACTGATATGTGTGTATTAAAATAGTTTGAGAATTAAAAAACAAAAATAAAACAAACCAGGAAACCTAAAGAAAAACACCTTGCCTTGTGATCAAATGTGCTTTACACAGCGTCTTCATAAGGATAGCCAGGCAGCGAGAAAACACCTATTGTTCACACTGTCTAATTGGGACACATCCCCACTGGTGAATGCACCTGTACCTGCCGCGACGGCTGGCGTCCAAACAGAGCACGTTCCCCTACCTTTCCCTCTCTCATAGCTAATGCTAAAATAATGAAGCCTTCATATGGAGCTCAATTAAGCACATTCATGTTTATATCACATGCGTTTGCACTCTTGCAAGAGTTCTGTTGATTATTGCTTGTTCAGCTCGACACAAAGGCGCACTGTGGCAGAGGAGAGCACGAGACCTCGCTGCATGGGGCTATTAGCACATTTATTCCTCTGTGCTAAAACTGGATTTTCATTTTCACAACAACAGTAACAAGTCGCAACACGCACAAATCAGCATTTGCTTTGTGTATGGCAACAAGTTTTGCTCGGCTACTTGGATTTTTCGGCTTTTTGGAAATGGGAGTGTTTTCTCATGTCTATGTAAATTGTAATGCATTCATATCTGATGTACGGTAAATATGGGAGAATTTTTAACTGAAAAACCGCTTGTGAATTTTTATTTGTTCAAAAATATAGATGATACTGGGCTACACTGTAAAATTAAATTTTTCTAAGTTGTAAATAAAACTTTATTGGAGTACATTTCACAAGATACTATTTTAGTAGTCTTTATACTTCAAAATTTCACTACTTGCTATTTCTTTGAAATTATTTGCGAAATTTAATAGCAATTTCTGAGTAAAAACATCCAATTATTTTCAGAGTAGTTGTTATAAGGTTTTTATCTTAGTACCTTTTTAAGTCAAAACTCTAATTCAAACAAGAGACAACTGCATAATGAAGATATATTATAACTGAAAAGTTAAAATACAATAGATTTTTTAATATATAAATGTCAAGTCAGGGCAGGTTTTCACATTTGCTTTAATATTTATAATATTTGTAGGCCAAAACAATAGTTTATTATTTATTTATTTTATTTTTTTACATTTTTTCTGTAAAAAAATGCTTAATTGCAGGTTTTTCTATGACAACTTACCCCATAGAGGCCCACATGTATTCAATTAACTGCATCTTTGATTCCTGGGCAATAATGGTTAAAATAGAAATAGATCAATAATACATATAAATGTGTGTGCATATGCAGTAATTGACTTTCATTAATAAAAAAACCTACAAAACAAAAAAATATTCACTTGACTAAAAAGTGTGACAACTAGCCCCAGTCTACTATAAAGCATGCAACTATAAAGCATGCATTAAGTACCAATTTATCTTTACAGTATTTGTCAGTGTTTTGAAAAGGCAAGTCGAGCACAACCGCAGCAGATGTCTTTACTGGTTGAACTCAACAAGAAATAACACTGCCATTTCTCTGGCTGGTTCCAAAGCAAACACAATCAAAGTAAAATTAAACAATCCCCTCACCAGATCAGGAGAGAATGAACAGGAAAGAAAGACCAAGTGCATTAAGAGTCAGAAAAGTAGCGTAAACATCAGTTAAAGAGAGGAAAGCTGAGAGGAAGGGAAAGACTGAGCTGCAGCCAGTATTCTCAGCAGGGTGAATGAGTCAACCTGTGAATGGGACAGCTGATCCCAGCACCCCTCCTGAGGCTAGCTAAGGTGTTGGAGCATGTCCACCAGCTAAAGAAAAAAAGAGAAGAGCAGAAAACACGCGAAGTGCAGCGCCAGGCGAACGGCGTAAATTCAACTACATAAAGAGACTCAGAATCACTTCTCTGCCAAACAAAGAGGAAAAGATACAGAGAAATCAGATAAAAGTCAAACTAGAAAACAATGAAATCACTATATAAAAAAAAACTACTAGTAAATCCAATAAACTAAATCCTGATATGACATATTCAGTGATCGTTTCAGAGTCTTTTTTTTAAGTTTTCTAGACGTAATAAGTGACTGTCAGCTGTCTCTGGCCAAAATGACACATGTACGTCAAATGACGAGCCACCAGCTCTTTAGCCTGCTGCCGGAAATTCTGTCCGTCGCTCATATGTCTTCTCCTTCTTTCCAATTACCTGAGCTAATAAATCTCTGAAATGAAACCGCTAGTTCTTCGTTTGGGTTCTAATGGACAGGAAGTCATATATTAAATCTATTTGCGATTTATTTCGAATCTTTGGGCGCTGCGGCTGATGGATGTAAGACAGGTTGAATTGTACTCCTCACTGTAATATCTACTGCAGCGACTACTTTTTTTTTTTGTTCCTCCGCACACTTTTTTTTTTTTCC